GCTAACCGCATGCTTGGCTTTCTCAAACGTAATTTTCCATCTGTTCCTGTATCTCTCAAGCTACTACTATACAAAACCCTTGTCCGCTCAAAATTGGAATACGCCTCCCCTATATGGGATCCCGGTACTGACTTACTTACAACAGCAGTCGAAGCTATTCAAAATAGATCTGTTCGCTTCATTCTTACTAACTATCACCGTAGTGCAAGCGTAACATCCATGAAAACGTTTTTAAACCTACCTAACCTTTCTTCACGTCGTGAGTTAACCCGTCTTTGTCTGTTTCATAAAATTTATCATCACAATTCTTCCTTGCTTCAAAAATTACTAACCCCCCCCTCATATGTCTCGCGACGCGTCGATCACCAACACAAAATCGGTCTACCTGTTTGTAAAGCCACTACTTTTTATAATTCATTCATCCCCAAAACAACAATCACGTGGAACCACCTTCCATCGTCAGTTGTGTCTGTAACAGATGCCACCATGTTTAAGCGTTGTTTAACCACTTTACTAAGTTAAAATTTCTTATGTTCGTGTTTCTATTCTTAGGTTGTCATTTTGTTTTTTAGTGATTTTACTTTGTAACCCACTCCCCTCTGTAATGCCCTCGGGCCCTGAGGGTACAATAAATAAATAAATAAATAAATATGTTTATATTTGCTTGGTTTACCCGGCTTCAAGTTGAACCGATTCACCATGTAATCGTGATTAAACCATCAATTGGTTAATCCATCAACCGCTTAGCCCTTTTTCAATAGTATTTTATTTTCTTACTTGTTGAGAGCAGAGATTTCTTATTTTCTATTCATTGCTTCACCAAGTTTCACCATCGTTCGTAGTTTTTGAGACGCTGAGCTAGAGATGATCATAGACAAAATATCCGGGTAGAAAAAGAGAAAAAAATATTCTTTGCCAACTATAACGGTATGCTAAAAGACCCCCGAAATAGAAAGACGGCAACGGCCCAACCACTCTCTCTTTTTCTCTTGGCGTACTACGATTTTACGCTTCCGGCCGTCGGGCTCTTACTTGTGCTAATCAATTTCAATGCCGACCGTACGTTATGTATTATTTTCTACAAAAATGAAGCATTTTTTATATGATAACGTCTTCTAGAAAGCGATGTTGCCAAAATTTACCAAACTTGTGGCACACCGAAAAGAACATATCCCTCATGACAATGGGCGTTTTCAGATAAGATCGAACAACCACGTCCGGCGACCATTTTTAATTTCGATGAAAAAAATATATTTTGCTGGATTTATGCCAAGAAGAATAAAAGCAATCCTTGTTTTCAAAAAAAAAAAAATTTTTGCGAAAAAAAAAAACTGTAAGTACCCTCTCAGTCACGTGCGCGTTTTGCGTATCACGCGATGTTGACATTTCGGGCGGCTTCCCCCCAAAAACTGTTCTGGCTACGGGTCTAGAAATATTCACTGACAAATTAGGCGTAGGAAGGATTGACAAAAAGTATTAATCACCGAGTATTACGGTAGTTATTTTGAGAAAAAAATCACAAACAGGGTACCTTGCCCTATAATGCTCTGGATTAAAGAATATCTTTCTCCGCATCTATAAAAGCTACGGTCTTCAAGCTTTGCCAGTGTGTTGCCCTCCATATAGTTCATCGTTGCGTGAAATATTGTTGTCCTGTTTAGCGGGAGAAATTTACAAGAATGGCTAACACAGGGTCATTTAATTAAATTTACATTATATTAAAATCATTAAAAAAGGCCATCTTTCATATTCCTTAAACTCTCTGAAATTAACGTCTATAATATGTACTAACAGAGTCTGTAATAACATGACGCAATATTTGTGTGGCTTTTAAGCTATAAAGCGAGAAAATGGGCAAATTGATGCTAACGCGGTTGCCATAAATGAGGCGTGCACATACCCGTTCTTCGCAATTTCATTATTATTAAAAAGCGCAAAAATGCTACAGGGTGGTCAGGAAAAACAAATTGACAGCAAAGAGGTGAATGGTAGTTTCGAAGGGAAAATTCCTAATAAATGTTCGCACAACCGACCCAAAAATGTCCATAGGCCGGAGCGATCGAGGTGCGCCACCCTGTTACATGCTTCGCGGTGCCTGTTTCAACAGCCGGCGTAGAGCGTCTCCGTCTATGCGACGTAAAGAAAGCAACCGGAACGACTTTGCAAACAGATCAGCCTACAACCTTGGCGGTAACACGATATGGGAAGTAGGGCGCGGCAGAACCTGAGCCTGCGCTGCCTGTGAGCGCCAATAGATCCGCCGCCGTGGAGGGCCGAACAACGCGTAGAAAATAAAGATACATAAAAAAAAAGGAAAAATCATTTCGATTGAATGAGATTGTATGTAAGTTAATTTATAAGACAACGGTTTGGAGAATCGTGGAATCAAATTTAGGTATGCTTATGTGACCTAAGTAAGTGATAGTGCAGCAAGCCACTTTAAGAACAAGTACGAACTATGCACGAGTTGCAGAGCCACACATACGCGTTAGCGAGGTGTATTTTTTCCGCAACTTGACATGGCAAGAGTGCCTGTGATTAAGTCGGGGGTCGTGTCAAGCACCAGGCAACGTTGTACAGCCTCCAACGGCCCTTCAAGTCCGTGATCAAGTCGGCGCAGAGAAGGTTGCCCCACTGAACACTAAACTGCCGAACGTGAAGCTAATCCACCTCCCGAAAGCTTACGTCAAAGCGTTCAGGGACATGAAAGCAAAGGACTGGGACTCTGTTCCCGTTTTGCGTGGAATTCAGTCCTGTCACTTGTGGAAGTGTACGCGGTCCGACACTTCCAACCACAGCTGTTTTAGCAAGAACAGTAGACGCAGAAAAAATGTATCTTTAAAAGTAAAGTTTCCTATGGCTGCGAAAAGCAGATCGATGTCGCGAGCTTGCGGTGCCACTGAGAAGAAACGAACTGTGATCGCCACAGGCAAAACGGGGGGAAAAAAATGTTCCTCCTCGGAGTGCCAGCAGAGCGCCTTGACCGACTCAGGTCAGCGTCCGGCAGAAAGAATTCACGCAACAAGCTCCGATTGTGTCCACAGGATCTTGATTACTAACAAGTGTACTTTCTTATCACTATTTAGACCTGGTCGTCAGCAGCCCAGCCTCCCCACAAATGGTATTCTCGGAAATTCACTGATCCGAGAAATTTGTAATTAAATTGTTGACTTATGCTTCAAACTCATCTGTAATCTTTTGTATGAATTCTTATTTTTCACGAACTCCTGTCACAGTGCTTTTTGTTCACAGAGTTCCTACATTTTTCGACCCCTTGCTTCCCCTTGTTTGAAATCAGCAACGTCCTATCTTTCTCTACTCCCGTTACGGCAATTCTGTATATTTAAAACAACGTAAAATAAAAGAAAAAGTAAAAAAAAACCTATTGCAGAGCATATTTAAAGGCCCCGATAGGCCGGATTATAAGCCTTGATCTCTGAAAAGCAGAAGAAAAATTACTATGGAATTCATTTAAAACTGGTTTTCTAATTATTGCAAAATCAGTAGCCTGTCTCAATTTCAGTGTATTCTTTTATAAAGGTTATCATTTTCAATTTTAATGACGATTTATGCGAATATAAAACAGACGCGTCCAAATCATTTAAAAAAATTAAATTTCCAGTTTTCAAGATCCGGATTCATAAAGCTGTGAATTGCCTCGTAATCGATAATGCTTGCTTGCCTACTTTTATTTTATGTTGAGTATCTGCACAAAAACATTAAACCTAGAATGACAATAGTTTTTCTTTAATAAATGTCCAAAAGGACGGTTTCACGCAAGTCGCAAAAACGTGCCCGTAACCGACAGCGACTTAGTAATTTCGTTTTCCTCGATAAAAAATGTATTTTCCGCAAAAAAAGTTTGAATATTCTTTGCGCTTGCACAAGTAAAAAATATATATTTTGGTAAAAATAAAAAAAATAAAATGTCGATCGGCCATGGTCGTTCGATCTTATCTGAAAATAATCAATACAAACAATCTCAGGTAGTCGGAATTTTTTTATAAGTATCTTTTATTTTCTACGCGTTGTGCGGCCCTCCACGGAGGCGGATCTATTGGCGCTCACAGGCCCCTGGGCAGTTTTGGGTCGGTTCTACGAAAATGCGTTAGGAATTTTCCTTTGAAAACTACCGTCCACTTCTGTGCTGTCAATTTGTCTTTTCCTGACTACCCCGTAGCATTTTTATGCTTTTTAATAATAATGAAATGGTGAAGAAGAGGTTTGTGGGCAACCCATTTAAGGCAATCACGTTAGCGTCGATTGGGCCATGTTTCTCGCTTTATAACTTCAAAGCCACACGAATATGGCATCATGTTTTGTAGACTCTATTAGTACATATTATAAACGTTAGTTTCAGAGAGTTCAAAAATATTAAAGATGGCCTTTTTTTTAATTGACTTTCAAAATGATGCATTTTTAGTTAAATGCCCCTGTGTGAGCAATTCTTGTAAATTTCTCCCGCTAACCAGGACAACAATATTTCAGGCAAAAATTAACTTTACACAGGGCAACACACTGGCAAAGTTTGAAGATCTTATCTTTTATAGATACGGAGAAAAATATTCTTTAATCCATGGCGTTATTGCGCAAGGTGTCGTGTTTGCGATTTTTTTCTCAACTATTCTAATACTCGGGGATTAGAACTTTTTGTCAATTCTTCCTATGCCCGATTTGTCAGTGAATACTTCTAGACCCGTAGCCAGAACGGTTTTTTTTTTTGGGGAAAGCCACCCGAAATGTCAACATCGCGGGATACGCAAAACGCGCACGTGTCTGAGGGGGTGCTTACAAATTGTTTCCGGAAAGACAAAAAAGTTTTTTTTCCGAAAACAAGGATAGGTTTCATTCTTTTGGGCATAAAGCCAGCAATATATATATTTTTTCATCGATATTAAAAATGGTCACCGGACATGGTGGTTTGATCTTTTCTAAAAACGCCTCAATGACAACGATTTATCTGTAACAAAAAATGAAGATATCAAACAAAAACATAATCATAATGAGTGAAATCTTTATTGAAGTCAGTCATCTATTGATCGCACACCATCATGAAATAAAGATGTAATAAAGCAATAATGTAAAAAAAAATATACTTTTCATAATATGCTGCTTGAAGCAGCGTGGTTTACGAAAGTTGTCTATTTTCCCGATAACGGGTCAGCCGCGGATACTGCTGGCCCAAATGTCGACGAGTGCTTTCCTCCGAACCTTTCCGGTTTCCGTTTTCGGAAGAGATTCCATGAAGAAGACGCCCCCATAGAGATGTTTGTGCCGAGCACAAGTCCCTTGGGAGAAAAGAGAAACCGTCCTTTTTATTAGAATTAGGTCAGCAAAAATAGACTATTAACGATGAGCGTCACCCATGTGCTTGTACGGCCCTACCGCTAGGCAGGTCTGATGAATTGCAAAGCCCTGTAATACTATTTGCGCTAATGTCCGACTTCAGATGTCCAGTTACCTTGCGCGGGCGCAAGTACGATTTTATACAGCTTTACGCCACATCCCCCGACACATTATATAATAATATTAAAATGACTGGGTACCCAGACCTCCGGCAGGGGAACATACGTGCACGAGTTCTTGTTTTAGAGTCGCTATTATTTAATAATTTTTCATTGCAATGTAAACGATCAGTGTGTAGAGATGGAATAGGTCTTCTACTCCTTGCCAAGTATTTATTTCAAATGTCTCGGGGTCACTGTCGTTAAGTTCAACATTTACCAGCTTATCTTCATTGTACTGATGTAAAGGGTTACTTTGGGGCAAATGTTAACTGAAAAATTCATGTTCGGAGTTCTTTATTCATAGCGTTAAAGGCGCATACAATTGTTAGGTGTATCTTGCTCATTGAGAGTTTGATATGTGAAGTTACTGCATTCGCTGATTGACATTTAGGCAACAGATCTAAAACACAGGGCGTGCGACAATTTGAAAATTGTATTGCATGTGACCAGTCTACGACAACTCTCCGATCTTTAAAGTCGAACATCTGCCAGAACTCTAAATAGATATTGGCAGTATATTAGACGGTACTGCAGTGAAGAAAAAAGAATTAAAAAAAAAATATTTTGTAATATGATTAAAATAACCCCGTGACACCTTATTCGTTAAATCGAAAGGCTCTACATTGCAGTTCTCAGGAAAGTATTCGTCAAAGCGTAGACCAATGGTGTCTGAAAGATGGATTTGTTATTGTGCGGGCGCCGTTTCTACAGTGTGCTATAAAACATCCCGCGAAAACAAATTAATACTCCTTATTTATGTCACGCATTTTAGTGAGGAGAAATGTCGTGCAATATAACGCGGCACTGCTTTGAAATCTGAAATGAAGGAGAGATACCTGCAATAATTCCCTTGATTTCTTTTTCCATTGCTTGACCGCCGTTCCCGATATCTTTCTTGGGCACGACAACCGCGGCCGGTGCTTCGCCGTAGACCGAGTGGGGTAGGCCAACCACAGCCACCTCCGCGATTCCGTCGTGGTTGGCGAGCAGCAGTTCTTCGAGTTCCGCCGGGACCACCTGGTTGTCCAGGCACTTGATCATTTCCTTGATTCTCTCGACAAAGTAAATTCGACCATCTGTGTCGTGGTACGCGAGATCCCCTGGAGAAGGCAGAGAAGAACTAGCTCTAATTGTTCGTTCACCAAAAAGGGAGAGTGTTAACAACACGCTGTAAATATAAGGACGTGAGACTCATTTCCATTCGGACTAGTGCCAAACCAAGACTAGAATTATATAACGATATACTCACCAGACCGACACCATCCGTCACGGTCTCTGAATTGTGCAGTAGCCAGAGGACGCTTGTAATAGCCTCTAGATGCCGCGGGTGTTCGAAAACAGAGCTCGCCAATTTCATTTGCTTTCAGGGCTTCACCACTGGTCGGATTCACAATCTGCAGAAAGAATCGCCGCTAAAGCATTGTGTGAAAAAATGCTGTGCCAAGGAAGACGATATAGACCCTTTCCGAAATTCAGTCTGGCCACTTTGATTACTATCATCATCTGTGGAGCGGCATCCGTGCCATGCCAATGGCGACCTTCTAGTGACTGATAAAGAAAGACGTTGAAGATGCTCCTAAGGGGATGATGCGAGGCCTGTACCTTGGGGGGTCAGTACGACGCGACGTATGAATGGAACACAAAGGTACGTAAGCGTTTATTTCTAATAACTCAGATACAGTCAATCTGTGGGCGACACACAATCGGCTTTAAAGCAATTTGGTGTATAGAATTTTCTCGAGGCATCTCAGGGGGGTTGGAGCTTTGTTCTGAATGCAGGTTCTTGGTCACCATCGAATTGAAAGTGATCAATAAAGAACTCACACTGAACAATTCCTCGCATGCCGGTAACTTGCGAAAGTGACGGTGCCGATACAAGTTCATTCCCGCCATTGATATGGCGAAACCTACACTGCTTTACGAACCACCGGATGGCACTGAATTTAGGAAAGGGTCTATTGAGATATAGTTCCAATGCTTGAATAATCCGCAGCATTATTTACTTGTTGCGAATCAAACATGCACTCGAATCCTTGAGTTTCAGTCCAATTGCCTTTGCACTCTTCCCCGCATACTACCCGGCATGTTGTACGTACCAAACTGGACTATGAAAATAGATTATGTTTTACATCATATCTAGCAAGCCCGTTTTATAATCAACAAACCACAGGAAAGAGTTGAGCACGTTGGTTACACATATTTAAGAGACACCAGCTGAAAAAACCAAGCATATAAATGTAAGGAGGACGAGAGAGACGCATTCAACCGCTGGACTAACAACTGCATTTAATGAACACTTCATCTTCATCGACAGGCAAGGATCAATCATACCTAGCTTGCTTCACTTCTTTCTTTTTTTTTCCTAATTTTTTAACTAAGGCATCCTCCTCGTCTGTCTACTTGTGGGCGGTACTTGCACCTCGGAAGTGTTGGAAGTACCACCTCTTCCGAGACCTCAAACTTTGTTTTTCCCATAAGGAAGGAGGTTTTGTAGTTCTTGACTCGGGGGCTTTTGGAGAAAAAGCCCTTCAAGCCATGGACAAGAATTTTGTTTCAGTTGATGTCATAGAACAAAAGTAACAAAAAGAGCCATTCTCACGATACTAGAGAAAAACCATCAGGGTGGTTTGTGCTCCAAGATCAAGGCAGCCAAGAGTGACCAGTTAACGGTGTTCTTCTCAGCCAAAACGCACAAAGAGGGAAGTCCGTTCCGGGCATTTATTTCGGAGAGGAACACGTGGCAAGCTTGCGTGTCCAAAGTTCTTTCCGAAAAGATCAACCTTGTTTCGATGCAAGACCCTTTTCGGATTTCCAATTTTGAAAATGTGACATCTTTTCTTAAAGAAAAGGGGAACATAATTGTTTCTGGGTTTTCTATGGACGTTCAAGACACTTACTACTCCATCCCGCATGCACGTCTACTACAAGTTGTTCGGTAAAACATAGAAGACCAAGGCCTCACGTCATTCCAGAATGCGGCAGGGATGCAAGTGGATACCTTCTTAGAACTTTTGGGCTATTACCTATTAGCCACAGTGGTGTCCTACCAAGATCGCCACTACGTGCAGAGAAGTGGCGTGTGCATAGGATCCCAAGTGGCCCCACATCTGTGTGAAGTTTTTTCTCGGAGCGTGCGGGCGTGCCATCCAAGAAAGCATTAAAGATTCAAGAATCGCGGCGATATTTAGGTATGTAGATGATTTCCTCGTTTTATGCACTACAGCAGTTCACGATCATAACGACGGGTGCCTGAACAACATTCTGAGGAGTTTTCAGTAGTCATGCATGGGGCTCACTTTCACGCATGAGCTTCCAGTCAGGAAGACCATCAAGTTTCTTGATTTGGTTTTGGAATTCAGAGCAGATCATGTTTGCTGGAGATACCAAGCCCGTTCAGGCAAAAGGTTTCTCCCCTTCTCGTCGCAGCATTCAAAAACTGTTAAGCAGGCAGTAGCTGTCACAGCCCTGTTTTCTAGCCTGAAAAATCTTGTGAGCATCAGATCTCCCGAAGCTTTGAGTTGCAAATATCCAGACTCGAAGACGCGGGCTACCCACGACATGTAATTGCCTCCGTGTGCGAAAGAATTTGCCGCACCATCAGGACGACTTGCGGACGCAACGATCCTTCCACACAGCAAAAAAAGAAAAGAGGACCGTTTGTGGTTGTCTCATATATTCATGGGATCACACATAGGTTAAAAAAGATGGCAAATCGGCACGAGGTACAAGTGCTGTGTTCGGCGCCCAATAAGGCCTATTCGTTGTGCCGCAAGGTCAATCAGGGGCAAACCAGCAACAGCAAGGGGTGTGGCAGCAATCACAGGACCGTTTATGCCCAGTGCGACAACGAGGTTATATTGCCGCGCGTGCAGCTGGCCAAGTAGGCAGCACGCGCGTGACCTAACGGTTATCGTACCTGGCTCCCACGTGAAAAGCCAGGGTTCGATTCCTGGGAGCGGCGCATCTTTTTGTTTATTCCTGCAGACTAGAATTCTGGTAAATTCGAGAATCATGTTGTTTCTTCTTAACCAGTACGACTGGAGAGGCCCAAGGACTGCTTGAGGGCTGGATTATGTCGTCGTTTAGCATCTCTTGGACTTGCTCCTGGATCACCTCCCTTTCTTTAGCGGAGACTGTGTACGGCGATCGATGAACAGGGCGCGCGTCGTCCTCGGTGACGATTCGGTGCTTCGCAACGGCAGTTTGGCGCACATTCGACGGCGCCGCAAAGCAGTCCCGGTATTCGGTGATGAGGTCACTCAGCTGCCGTCGTTTTAGGTCCGGAAGCTTAGGGTCAATGTCAAGTTGCGCTGGCGACGTAAAGTCTTGCTGAGCGGGCGATGATTCTTCAGCAATCGCGACGACTTCGGCGGAGTTTCGGAGTTCCTCGACGTGGCCCACACCACCTTTAGTGAGGTGGTGCGTTTCTTGTCGGAAATTCGTCACGAGGACCACAGTGCGCCCATCCTGAAGTTCAGCTACTCTTCTTGCGACGCCTATTCCTCTTCCCAGGAGCAACTGGAGGTTACCTTCCAGAAGAACTTCGCCAAGGGTAGCTGCATCGGTCACGACGGGTGCGACAACACTTGATCGCGGCGGCAGATTCACGTGGTCGGCAGCGACTCGGTCGGCGGCTGACGCAGTTTGCAGTTTCTCTGAAGGCGGAACAAAAAGATGCGCCGCTCCAAGGAATCGAACCCTGGCTTTTCGCGTGGGAGCCAGGTACGATAACCGTTAGGTCACGCGCGCGCTGCCTACTTGGCCAGCTGCGCGCACGGCAATATACTACATACCTCTGACATGCAGCCGCTGTTATATCGGCCAGACCGGGCGGTGCATAAATGATAGGACTCGGGAACATGCCAATAGTTTGAAGAACTTGACGGCAGCAGGTCACTTAGTCCTACACTGCCTTGACTCCAAGTGCAAGGCGAACCTAAACAAAGTTACCATCATGGGGCACCATCGAAACCGGTTTGCACGTGAGGTTTAAGAAGCTCTAAACATACAAGAGAAGGGGACATCTGCGCTAGTTCACCATCCGTGACCTTAACCAGAGAAGAGAAGACGTTCTTGCGAGGTGGAAGTACCGCCCACAAGTAGACAGACGAGGAGGATGCTTTAGTTTAAAAATGAGGAAAAAAAGAAAGAAGTGAAGCAAGCTAGGTATGATTGATCCTAGCCTGTCGATGAAGATGAAGTGTTTCATTAAATGCAGTTGGTATATAGTCCAGCGGTTGAATGCGTCTCTCTCGTCCTCCTTACATCTGTATGCTTGGTTTGTTCAGCTGGTGTCTCCTAAATATAATCAACAAGTTGGTTCCTCGGGCAAATTTGATTTCATTGGGGGACTCTCGTATCCGGTACTTGACAAAAACTTTGCAGCGAATTCCAGAGGTTTGTCAGTGTTACCTCAATGCAAATTCAAAGCAATAACAAATAAATTCCTCGCAAAGTCTGAGGAGCTTTCATCCAAAACGTACATGTATTTAAACTGTGCAATGTGCGAGTCATGCGCACCTAATAATTTGCATATAAAAACTATTTTATTACGGTATTTTACATTAGAAAACAATTATAAGCAACCCGCAAATTATGTATTCACAAAAAAAAAAGAAAAAGGAAAGGACTGTGTACTCAAATGCTTAGGCACGCCGCACACGAAGCCACATTTCTACAAATCGCAGCAACAAAAGCAAAATTGTGCCGGCATATATTGTTGGGGTTTCCTACCTCTGCGTACAAACTAGAATTTATGCAAAGCACGATTTATTTTGGCACCGGCATACACCACAAGCAAAGTGCAGAGCTCGCACGGGATCAAACTGCCGTATTCAGCGACAGGGTAAGAAGGGCAGGGATGTCTTTCAGTTGTCCCGCCTCATGCACGAGCTTTCATGCCTCCGACAACACGTCGGCGTCTCCTGAGCTTCGAGTGTGCACGCGCAGTCAAAGCACGGCGGAAAGCAACGAGCGTGTGCTGGAGAATGAACGTCGGAAGCAAACGCCTCGCGCTTCTATGGGTGGTTTCGGGTCGAATTTTGGTGCAACACAGAAGTAGCCTCTCGGTCAAGCTTGCAGCCGAATTGTGTCGCATCGACTTTATTCGCACCATGCTACTGTGGGCACTTCCTCTGCGGCTAGTTTATTGGGTTGCATGTAAACAGTGTCCGAGCCCATAAAGCTGATATAATAAAGCTATAGATAATGATCCGCCACCTCCCCCGCATTTTGGTTGTCTCAACACGCCGGAGTTTAGAGGGAGACATTCTTGGTATAGGCGAACCCATATTGCTGGCGAGACATGGATGACCGCAAAGCAGAAAAAAATATCAGCAAATTCCACTGAAAATTTTAAATCTGAGTACCTACCTTAAATAAAAATAAAATAAAAAAAAAACTTTCAGCCTTTCCACCAGTCCCCATAAACACCTTTCCGACCTCAAGTCGGCAAGCCAGAGTGGAAAGGCTGGAAAGGTTGCCACCATCCATGAGCGATTGCGGCAACCTGACAACCGGCAAGCCCGTTGTATGGTTGCCGAAGCCGTTTATAGATGGCGGTAGCTGCCCCGAGTTTTGTGTCGACATTTGCTGACCCGCGGACACGATACTGGGGAAAGCCATTAACAGCTCCGCTGTCAAAAAAGTTCTAAAGGGTTTAGATGGGACACATAATTCTTTTGTAAATTTTTCCACGAAAACATTTTTTTTTTTGTATTATTTACGCCGTCTGGGGCAATCTAGAGCGGGGGGGGGGGGGGGGGGGGGGGGATAGCGTCTACTGTGACGGTTCTATTTTGACTTTAATCGGCCATTTTGGCGCCGAAACATATAAGGTGTAAAAAGTATCAGGGGTGCCAACCCCCGTCTGCCAGGTGAACGCGCCGCAAATTACTACCGAAGTTAGGACGCGCTCTGGTCGGGACGTGCTATCTGAAATCACTGGTGTGACATGGTTGTATAAAAACAATATTAATTGTACCGCAAACCTTGTAAACTAAAGTTTTTAGAAAACATTTCGCGACTGTCATTTTGTTCTAATCTCCAATAAAAGTCCCCACAAAAAGAGCTTTTTCCGTCTGTTTCTACGCAAAAACACGATTTTCTAAAAGTTTATGGTGACCACAGTAAAGAAAGAGACTGAACCGCCATCTTGGCGGTTCTTAGTACTCTGGGAACAATCAGTGACTCGCTAAAGGGTGGCGCTGTTATCGTATTTAGCTCGGTCTCGGGGGACGCCAACGACCCAGCTTTCAAAGATGACTTTCCCAGCTGATTGTTTTAGTAACGTTGGCCATGACTAACGAGGTAGAGCGATAAACTGTTATCCCGTTCACCGGGCAAAATGACGCCCACTTGGCCGCCGCCAGGTTGTACAGTTTTGACCAATAGACAAGTGACCGTACCAAATCATGAGGCTTTACGCAAAACTGAGTCGAGAATTGTATTGTGATCGCTGTAAAAAACATTATAAACTATTTTTTTAATACTGTTAGCCCCAGAGATCAGTGTCCAGCTCCGATAAAAACCCAAAATACAGCACCGCGGCTGAGGGGCATCTAGCGAATGCATTGCGAAGCTGCCCGAGCTTTAGTCGTAAAAGCACATTTTGGGCTTAAAACAAACGAAACATTACTTATCTCGTGGGTACTGTTATTAAAAATCAATAAGCAATTATTTGTGCGCGGTGCTTTGTTAAAATCTAGAGGAAAAACTATAAGGTCACGTGTCTAGTGGTCGAAAATGTGCAACATGGCGGCGGCCAATGGGGGTCACTTTCAGCCGCCAGTTTATCGCTCTAAGGTCCTCTACCTCGTTGGTCATGACGCTCAGCCACCTTGCTCGAGGACGGTATGCAAGAAAACAAAAAGAACGGAAAAACTGAAAGGGCGACATATTTAGTGTTTGTATTTTTTAGTTCTTTCGGTCGCTTTTTACCTCACATCGACAGATGCTGACACACCCTTGTATTAGACCAGGAGTGGCCAAGCTGCGGCTCGCGAGCCGCATGCGGCTCTTCGCGTGTTGAAGTGCGGCTCGCGACTCCCTCCAATACACCCCCCCCCCCCCCCCCCCCCCCACACACACACACTCCCCCGCCTTCCTTTCGATCACACGACCGCTTCCCCAAACAGAGAAATGGAGAACGTTTTAAGTAGAAAGACATGTTGTGTTTTGGTGGTCTCGTGCTACTGCGACCTTACGTACAGATGGACTGCTTTTGACTCGGATAGATAGAAAGTAGTTCGAGTTTCGTTTATTGCTCTACAAAAATGTGTCCCCTCCCCCCCGTGGCTCTTGGAAGTTTCGTGGTTTTGTTTGCGGCTCTTAGGCCGGGTCAGCCTGGCCACTCCTGTATTAGACCATGGCTCGTACATGATGGAACGCTAGAAAAACAACGTTGGGTAGAACAAATCGTAAGGGTGCGGGCGAGCTGGTGAATATTAACCATGTTGAATTAACCTGAGACTGGGGTAGAGAAGAAACATCAAAACGTAGAAGAAACAGAAAATAGACAGGACGACGTCTCAAAATCAGCTAACTCATTTATTTAGTCCACCTCCACCAACACAAAAAGACGAAGTTATACAAATCAAGCGCCACAGCCTTCATCACACAACGCAATAAAGTTTACAACGTTTACAGGTCGCGCAGTGCACGATAATCTACAGGAGTTGTCCCCGGGTACGGCAATAGTGAGTAGATATATGTAGATAACATCTTAATATGCACGTTTAGCGAAGGTCTAACAAAAACCCTAGAAGGCGTGATAAGGTCAACGGCTCCAGAATTTAAGTTTACTGTAGAAAAACAGGAAGATAATGTTCTGCAGTTTTCTTGATTTACGTATTCACGTAAATCGAGGGTTATGTTGGGAATATGGCAAAGAAAAATCGAAACCAGTTTTGCCAAGGATGAGTTGTCATTCGAAGACCGTAAAGGCGGGGATTGTAAAGTCATTGGTCAGGAACGCGTTAGAAAGATCATGTGTCCATCTCCATCATATCACTGAATCAGTAGAAAGGCAATGGAAAAGGTTGATAAGTGTAGGTTATGATGACAGTTTTAAAAAGCGGCAATTAGAATTGTTTATTAAAGGCAGGAGAGACACTGAACAGAAACCAAGGAACCGCTTTGCTGTAATCCCTTATTTTCATGACATCTCTCACAACCTGAAGGCATGTGCAAGGCAGTTTGAAGTAGACACTGTCTTTAGTTCGGATTTCAGATTAAGTAAACTGACGCCATTTCAAACAGGTGTGAGCGAGTGCAAAAAGGCTCATCGGGAAAAATCGGTATGTTGCGAGACTGGTGTTGTGTATGAGATACCATTAGAGTGTGGATTTAAGTATGTAGGACAGACGTCACGCTGCATAAATGACAGATTAAACGAACACAAAAGAAATGTAAAGAACAATGAACAAAACTCAGAAATAGCAAAACATATTCATGAATGTAACAACTGCACGGCGCTCTGGTCGGAGACGGAAATAATACACAAAGAGAGGAACGATGTAAAGAGAGTAGTAAGGGAGACCTTGCGGGATAAAGTCTCTAGGCAACTGCATAAGTCAGGCTTCAATACAGTTTGGAAGCAATTCAAAAAGCTTTCTAAAGGTGTATTTTTTTTTATTTGTCAATTAGGTGGTTTTGAGTGTTTGTGATTTTCCAAAAACCTGTAAAACTTTTTTTTTGCTTTATGCTTTGTGTGGGTCTCCACGTGTTTTGGCCCAACTATCGTTCAGTGCTTTTTTTTTTTTTTTTTTGTAGAGAGGTTGTGTAATGATTCAGAAGGGGTATGAACTGTGTATAGAATAGTAGGGGAAGACTTCCTTTTGTTCAAGTTTGAGGGTGGATGGATGTTGCCTTATCGCGTCGACCTGTAAACGTTGTCAACTTTATTGCATTGTGCGATGAAGGCTGTGGCGCTCGATCTGTATAACTTCATCTTTTTGTGTTTGTGGAGATGACCTTGAGATTGAGACTATATAAGGAGGTGGACTAAATAAATGAGTTAGCTGAGTTTGAGTCGCCGTCCTGTCTATTTTCTGTTTCTTCTACGTTTCGATGTTTCTTCTCTACCCCAGTCTCAGGTTAATTCAACATGGTTGGTAGAACGCCATTCCATGGTCGCGTCTGGCGATCGTCGCAGACAAGTTTAGACGGGGACGAAATAGCAGACGGAATCAAGCGACGGCGGACACGGACGGACCGCTTTAATCGTCGTTCGTTTCCACGCTCGTGCCTGCACGACTAGCGGACGGTGTAGGCGGCAGACTTGAACGCACCAGATGTCGCAACAGCGATCCATTAGGCTTGCGAACATAACTAACCGAGCAGCCAAGCCAATCCAGTAGTAATGGGCGGGGCCACCACTCTGTGGGCGGGGCCTAGAGCGGGTGGTGAATTCCATCTAAATTGCGCCTAGCGTCGTAAATGTTACCCAATTTGTTTTTATGGGAAAATAAAAAAAAAGAAATACGAGCGTTTTTGTTTGGGCACAACTAGTTTTGAAGGTACATGCATTTAATTTATTTCGTTTCTCTAAAAACTTGCCTTAAAACCTCAGCCTGGTTATAATCGACAGAGACGTAATATATGTAACCTTAAAATAGGGTAAAACACAAATCTGTCTGAATTTCGCATGATTTCAGACTGACGCATTGTCCAATGTCAAACTTACAGGTCTTTCAAAGCCGGGATAAAAATAAAAGAACGTAATCTGTCACCTTAATTTCCACCATAGCACAAGGCCATCCGACGTTAGTGTAGCAGACGACGTCCTTGGGCGGAATGCAGATGGAGCCGTTCGATTCGGTCATTCCGTAGATATACCTGAGGCTCCGAAGGTTCCCGAAGGTGCTCAAGGACAGCTTTGCCAACTGCTCCGAAAGCACGCTACCGCCGACACCGATGTGCAGCACCGTGTTCAGCCTCCGGTCCGCGGACCGAGCGTACTGCACCAGGTTCCGAAGGCGCGTCGGAAAACAGGTCAGAGCCGTTACCTGCAAGACGGGAGCCGAGAAAAGCCACATCGAGCCGTGGTCAGACTGCTGACATGTCGTACGAAAGACACCCTGCAGAAACTGCAGAGTTTAGGGAACCGTTTTCGCACGCCCGATAGGGTACGATGGGCCGTCCGGTACGAACTGCGCATATGCGAGTCTTCTGTGGTAGCGCATGCGCAGTTCGTACGGGGGGGCCCATCCTACCGTATCAGACGTGCAAAACTAGTTACCCAAAACTCTCTACTGTCTGAGGCGTGTGTCCTTGTGTGACGCTCCCGCCACATTGAACATTCAAAAAGTGTCTTCAAATGTGTTGGAAGCACACGTGTGTGTGAAGTAAACTTGGTTGGCACATGTCTAAAGCATGCCCGCAGATAATGCTGTCCCAATATCTGCAGCGAACAGCGTATCTTTTGTATGACGTATGAGCGATGCGTCGCCGGCTTCGAGGCTGGTCCACACATCTCTGAGGGTGACCGCGTGCGTTGTGCCCGCTTGTGGCCGCTTACAACACACTGGCGCCATCTACGAGGAAGCCTTGGAACACCTCCGATCAGCGCATTTCCAAATGATCTCGACAGCGTCAAAGCCGGCCTATTGTCGGAAGTAGCGAGTAGATATAATACTGGTCAAAACTGCGAAACCTTAGTCTATAGTACGCAGACAGGAAAAGTTGCACAGCTGCCAGGTAGTTGGCGTACGTTCTCTCGCCAAGAGTGGTCAGAAACGGAAACGAGGCATGCCGCCACATTAAAATGCTGATGCGTGAATTAGCCTTCCCTTTACGCGGCACCCCACAGATGTACTCCCTTTAGTCAGTGCGACTGGGCTTACCTGAGGGTGATTTCGGAACGATATTTTCTGGGTAGGAGAAAAATTGGGTCGCAAATTGCCCTGCAATTGTGTTTCTACGGGAAATCTTCTCGATTAGCGCTAGTGGTGCTAGTCTGCTAGACCACTAGTGCTAAAGCAAGTGGTTAGCGGAATTAGTGGCGAGTGAGTATTAGTCAGGGTTAGGAAGAGTTAAATTTCGAGTTCAAGTTTGTGCTAGTTAGAGTAAGTGGTGCTATCTCCCCGTTTCACGTGTAAATTTTCCCGCTAAATGTCTATGGTGCCCGGAACGCGTCTTCGACTGGTGTGTTTACCCCGCCATCAAATCTGGTCTCTCGAGTTCCGCCTGATGACGGCTGATGACGACATACGAACGTGACCTCTGAGAAGGACTCAGAACCGTTGTTGTTGACTTGGCGTCTTGCGCCCAGACTTCCTCCCCTTCTTGGAAAGGGCGAAGATCCCGAGTAGCGTGTCGAGCATTGAAGTCTCTCTGCTGCTTACGGCGCTGGGTGGCGCGACCGCTCGTTAAAGTCCTGGACTTGGGGCCATTCCGGAACCAGGCTTGCGACGGTGACGTGCAGACGTGTTCGTAGAGAACGTCCCATAAGAAGCTGGGCCGGGCTGTACCCCGACACGCCAGGAATGTTCCGGTACGTTAACAGAGCCAGGAAGGGGTCCTCCGCTTTCCAGAACAGGTCTTAGCTTTTGCGGATCATTCTCTAAGCTTCCCAGTTGTATTGAGGTTAGCAAGGCCTACTCGTGAGGCGTGCGAATTCATAGCGGTTTGCTGAGTGTCGGAACGCTTTGCAGGCGAACTGCGGGCCATTATCGTTGAAGGATGTCTGCGAAATGCCATACCGGGCAAAGGTGCTCTTAATGACACTGATGATGGCATCAGCGGACGTTGAACGTAGCGTTATGACCTCGATGCTAGCCGACGACGAGCAGAAAGTGCTGGACATTCAGTTAGAACAAATCAGCCGCAACCCGGTCCCATGACTCGGGAGGGGTTTCGGTGGCGATCGCATGGACATGCAGCGCTGAATTCGGATGCTTGCAGACGCAGCACGGTTCTCAACGGCCGTCTTCACATGGCTCATGAGGTCCGGCCAGCACACCGAGTCCTTGGCTAGGGCCAGACACCAGTTCACACCTTGGTGCCCGTCGTGGAGCAGGCCCACGATGTCCTTGTGCAGCAGTGACGGTGCGACTAGACGTCAACGCATGAGGAGCAGGTCTTTCGGAATGAAAAACTCGCCACGGCGGTCCCAATAGATCGTCATGTTCAGGGGAAGCCGATCGCATCTTGGACAACTTCTCGTGCAGTATACCTTCAGGGCAGAGCACTCAACATCTGAAGCTTGATGTCTTTTGAAGTCCTCGAGGCATACTGCCAGAGTCGAAGGAAGGGCTGTCACGATTTGGGGCACGAAGAGCTCAACCCCTACTGAAAAAAAGTATATGAATCTATATAAGAACTGATATGAAATATCTAAAAACTGATATGAGACATATGAAACTGATATGAAATATCCAAAAACTGATATGCGACATAGGAACTGATATGAAATACCCAAAAACTGATATGCGATATATAAGAACTGATATGCAACATATGCCAACTGATATGAAATATCCAAAAACTGATATGCGATATAAGAACTGATATGAAATACCCAAAAACTGATATGCGACATAAAAGAACTGATATGCAACATTTGCCAACTTATATGAATGTGTCCAATAAACATATAAGAAATAAATTCATATAAGTTTTTTTTCAGTATACGACGTGCCGCGCGGGAAAGCAAACACGTGACTTGGAACCGCAGTGGAGCGGCTTGATTTACTGGCTTTCAAATAATTACGGCATGAGCGTTTACTTTTTATTAAGAGATTCGTCCCCTGAGCCGTTCTAAATACTCTCAGAGGTACGATCATTACTGAAAAAAATCTAACACGCTGAAAATATTATTTATTGCGTAGGTGGTCACCGAAAAACTCCGTACTTACAAAACGACCTGTATAAAAGGCGGAAACGCAGAGCTCCGAAGTAGTTATTGGGTGTGCTGCTGTATTCATGTTTGTTGTGCCGTGTATGTGTATGCACTCAATGTATATGTTCAACTGATGCTAGTGGTATGCGTAATGTATCTATACATGGTGGCGTGAGTAAATAAATATATTTTTGCAGCACATGAATTGGGCGGTACCTAGCGCCACCTAGCCTCATGTAACTGATATGCGGCATAGGAAACTGATATGAAATAATAAGTTCTGATTTGAAAAAGGTGTCCAATAAACATATCAGAAAAAAATTCATATAATTTTTTTCAGTAGGGACGCTGTGTGTGGTAAAGAAAATTCTAGAGAAAGTTTAAAAGAGTCCATCGGGATCTCTTGCCAGCGTGTCAGCAGTGTCGGGGTACTTTTCCGGGACGTTATATACCGAGAACTGGTAGCGCAGAAGTCTCATGCGGAAACGCTAGATGCGGGGCGTTTCCGCATCAGCGGCTGGTGGTCAGTCTTCGCAACGAAGCTGGGGCCGCGCAGAAACTCTTTAAAGTGCTGAACTCTCCACGAGCAGTAGTCAAGGCACGCAATGCAAAAGCGACCGATCGACGTTCCCCTGATGTTTGCCCCTGTTTTATCACGGCGCCCAGGCCATACGACCTGGCATCTGCGGATATGGTCATGGTGTTGTAGCGGGCGACGCAAGAGCTTGGATGTCACCATCCTCTTTGGCGTCTTGAACTCTGTAGCTTGGGCGGATCCGCAGGTCCGGTCTGTGTATTTATTCAAAAGGAGCCCGATCGGCGCAGTCGTGGCAGAGAGATACGGCAAGAATTGTCCAACGTGGTTCAAAAGGCCCAGGAAGCGTCTAAAACCGTGCACATACGTCGGAGGTCGCTTAAAGGGGCGGTGCAACGATTTTATGATTAAAAGAATTTGCATCTCGTCACTTTCACGTTGTTTATCGTGTCCCAGAGGATAGAGAAAACACTTCTTTCATTAAAAATGTCGCGATTCCGCTGCATAATCGCAAAGCAAAAGTCGAGTTTTTTCCCCAACCTGCAGCCCCAAGTGGCAGCCGAAGGAACTACGGCGGAAAGATTACGTGACCTCGCTCGGCTCTAAGCTGCAGCATAGCGCCCGCTAATGTACGCAGAGAGAGGGAGGGGAAGCGTCCTCCGAGATAGCACACGGGAAGCTACACGGCACTCCGAATGACGTCACTGGGAGTGCGACCAGGTGTGGCCCTGAAGGCTGGGAGTGAGTTGAGGGGTGCCCGAAATGACAATCTTTATCTTTTTTTTTACGCAACAACTAGGACACGCAGACGAAATCGGTTTTCTGTTCTTTACTTCAGAAGTGTCAGGGGGCAACTTCCAGAAATCTTTGACCGAAGTCCGAAAATCGTTGCACCGCCCCTTTAAGGCCTGACCAAACTAGCGTGAACGGCGCCGCCGGTCGGCGCCGCTGGGCGGCACCGCCGACCGGAGTCCCAATGCAAGTCCTCATTGGCCTTCGTTTTGCGGGCGTCACGTGACAACACTGGCTCTCGCGATAGCCCGCGCGCCTCCCGTCGCATTTCCCGCTCTTTCATCATCTGCTCTTCGTTAGATTCTTCCGTTTCGGCTCTCATCTTTCGCATATATCAGCATACAAACCGCACTCGCTGCCTACATGGTAGGTGTCCACGATGACCTGGTGATCAGAGCGAATGTGATTATCCTAGCCTGCTTGTTGATCTTGCGACGTCGCCGCGCTCTAAAGGGAGGGAGGCGCAGGTTTTGGGTCCGGCCGTGTTGCTTCTACCGAAATACCGAAGGACAGGTCAGTGCTTCGCTGCCCCGGCGGCGCGCCAGAGATGAAGACAACTTTCGAGAGTGTCAAGAAATCAACACAACATCCGTCACAACACAGACAAAATGCAACAAGTGCCACGGAGAAACTCACTTGTAATTTCGAATACCTCTCCTATAATTTCCCTGCGGTTGTTTGTAGCGTCCTTATCTGGGTAATATGGCCGCGTCGTGTCATATAAAAGGAGAAACAGTCGCAGAGTTTCGAGAAACCGCTCCAGTGGGAAAGGCATTGGGAGAAATAGGGATAGCAGACGAAAAGAAACGACGCTACGTTCCTTCGGGACGTGAAAGACAAGCGGAGAACCGGCTTGCTCGTTGCCATGGTATCGCAACGTCACTATCCACGCTTGCTCCGATTGCCTCCTCTCTTCTACGGCGAGGAGTGGCGAGCTCGGAACCGCGCAAGGACCGGTTGGCTTGGCGATCGACGTTGTACGGCGCACCGCAGAATGCGAAAACTGGTTTTCGTCGGCAGCCCGCGGCACCGAACGTCCCACCGCAAGCCTCCGCGACGCCAATGTGGTCGTGCCTTTACTCATGATGGCGGAGACCTTGTCTGGGTCCGGAGTGATGCCCTTGGGACTGACGACCTCGCCCAGGAACTTGACGGACGAAACGTCAAACTGAAATTTGGAGGCGTTAAGCGTAACGCCAGCTTGCTGAAGTCTCTCCAGGACGGCCTAGAGTCTAGCGTCGTGTTGCGATCTGTCCCTGCCGAAAACAAAGATGTCGTCCACGACGTTCACGCGCCCGTCGAATCTCTCGAGGATACGTGACATCTGGCGTTGAAACGCCTCCGGGGCTGAGGTGATGCCGGAAAGAAGGCGTCTGTAGCAGTAACCGCCAAAAGGCGTGATAAACTTGTGTACTGGCTGCTTTCGGAGAGACGCATTTAATAGAACCCCGATGTCGCATCGAGTTTTGAGAAGAGAATAGTACTTTCCAGTGGTCCCAGAACCTGGACAATAGTCGTCAACATGTGCCTCTCCGGGAGAAGAACCTCGTTCAGCTTGATTAGATTGACGCAGAGTCAATAGCCACCCGTAGCCTTGGGTACCACTACGAGGCCGGCGCACCACGCCGTAGGTGTCTCAACACGCCGGATGACACTTTCTCATTCTATTTGGTGCGCCGTAGGTGTCTCAACACGCCGGATGACACCTTCTCATTTTATTTTGTCGAGTTCGTCTTTCACCACTCCTAGGAGAGGAATGGAAATCATTCTGGGTACCCTGATCGAGAAGGGCACACCTCCGGGCTTGATGCGGATGTGGTACACGTTCGGCATCGTACCAAGTCTCGCGAAGAGTGGAGTAGTGACCGTAGGCGTCGTCAGGGCGGGTGGCGACGGAGCCGTCTTCAAGAGGTCGGTGTCGGTTACGGAATCCACGAAGTGGAGACCCCGAGAGCGACTATCGCAGGGCAGAGAGGTACCTATGCAGCCGACGACGTACAGCTTCTGGTGCACTGTCCGATCTTGCTATGCCGGGGTAGCCGGGAACATCCAGAGAAGGTTGAGACGGCGGCGTCCCGGACCGACGAGTTGCTTGCTCGCCCATGGGTTGGTCTAACAAGGCACGACATCATGGAAAAAAGCGCAGGATGATATAGAGAGCAGCCGTTGAACTGGAGAGGGCAGCCGTTGACGAGTATAACGACCTAGCGGCCGGGCGCTTGCGACGATTCCAGGAAGTGCAGCTGATATGACTTAGACGCTTCGTTTTGGAGCTGTAAGCCGACGCAAAATGCCCCTTTTGTCAGCAATCCTTACACGTAGTCCTCCTGGCTGGTCACTCTGAACGTGAGTGTGGGTTGTTGCTGTAGTACTCGCACGACGCCTTCGACCCACGGGGTTGGCTTTCCAGAGCGTAGTCCCGGCTTCCGAGACGGTACTCGAACTCTTAAGGGTGTCGCCGTTGAGGGTGCTTTGTTGCGAAGCCGTTGCTTGACGTTTTCTCTCGTGTTCCGTGTCCTCGTGTTGAAGAGCCAGCAAGAGCGCATCTTGGGGCGTCAGCTTCGGATTCCGTCAAAGTTGGTCGGACAGGCGCGAGCCTTGCAGCCCGACAACCAATCGGTCCCGTACGATGCGATCCTTCACCGCCGGTCCGGATAGTTGAACTTTTGGAAGATATCTCGTAACGCGGTGATGAACGCGTCGAAAGTCTCACCCGCGACTCGACTCGTACACCTCGTTGACGGGGTGAACAAAGTAGCCTGTAAGCTTTGCTGCGACGTCTGCGTACGATCGGTAGGCCTCGTCGTCCCTTTTCATGAAGGAAAGGAACACGCGAGCTTGGGGACCCATACATTATAGGAGGGTGCACACCTTGCTTTCTTCGGACGCGGTGGAAAGGCTCTACGCAAACTAGTAATCTTCGAACTGCTGAAGCGAGGCAGGCCCCTGGCTAGCTTCGTCGAACGTGAACGGCGGCGGAGTCCAGATCGAGAAAACAGCGGCTGCTGGCAGGAGTGGCGGTGAGAATTTACGAGGTGTCCGCCATCCCGGAGTCACTTTGGACACCATGAAGTGGTCGTGTAGCAGCGAGACGCGAGGCCCGAGAGCGCAAGCGCGAGCTGCAGGGGGCGGCTGAAAGTGATGAGACCCACCAGCCAAGTGTGCCAGTCAAAAAAAGCCCCTGTTCTTTATTCCGTACGGCGCCCTCTAGTGCTGTCTGCCGCGATCCTGGCGGTGGAACAACAGCAGAGTTTGATGCGGCGAATGCCGGTTATGCTGCAGGTCGCCCTCAGCTCGGCAGGCCACGGAAACTTCGGCAGGCACGAGCTAGGACGCCGCGACGACAGCGACTCCTACGTTCGCTCGTGCGTTTTTACCGGAACTCGACAATCAACCGTCGGGATCCCGGCACCTTGTAGAATGACACTCCAGCTTCTATAATTTCTTGCTACATCGGGGCTACTTTGACGCATGGGCGGTATATGACGCTAAACATATCAGTCGAAGACGTGATCTTCGTAGAGTACATATTAAGGCTCTTAGAAGTGAACAACCTGGTTTTTCTCCAAGCTGCACTAAGCTGCCAGTAATTAAAAATATAGTTTGCACATCGTCTCACCTTGAATCTGTCGATCAAATCGGCGTATCCTTCCATGGACAAGGTATGAGGTGCAACTACGCAGGTCGCTCCAATCAGAGCCGTAAAGATACTCCATAACCCTGATGCGTGAGTGATTGGGTTCCATAGCAACGCAACGTCTGCTTCGGTCGCGGTAGAGAACGGCCTGCAATGGTGCATTAAGAGACAGAGTCGAATAACGCAATAACGCAAGGGAACAAAGACCTCGTGTTCAGAAACATTGCAGTTTCGATATCCAAGGGGCAGAATGTCTGTGCACGAAGCCACCGTGTCTACTTCCCCACTAAGCGTACTGCGCACACACAGATCGGACTTACAGAAGTGGCAAGTGAATTGACGACGCCCCGAATATACCTATATTCACGAAAGTGTGAGTGGTGCTCGACATTGATGACGTGACACAACGTCCTTCTCAATGTGGCTGAGCAGGATGCCTCTTGGCTTCGGAATGCCATATGCAACCGGAATGCCATATGCAACATGATTGGCTACGGCCATCTACCCTGTGCACTCAGTCTTTTCACTAGTCCAAGGGACATCACATCTTCTCCGGCAGCACAAGCGAAAGGGACTGACCTCTCAATGCAAGGTTGGGCAGTGTCACGGTCGAAAACAGTGTGGCGAACAAACATACATCTTCTATATGTATTTATGTATCGCGATAACCATTAGTGAAAAAAGCACCGATTTATCTTAAATGTTCTACATTTTGTATTTGTTAACGTCATTATATTTCTAGCATTGACAGTTCGTTTCTTACCATTATTCGTATGATACACGCATACACTAATTTGTTGTCTTATTTTAATTCGAACACACACACACACGCACACACACACACACACACACACACACACACACACACACACACACACACACACACACACACACACACACACACACACACACACACACACATATATATATATATATATATATATCAGTATGTCGAACCGAAAAAAATACGGGTTCGGTTACGGTTCAGGTTCAGGTAAATTTATTTTGTTCCGGTTCAGTTCCGGTTCGATTAATTCGATCCGCGAACCGGTTCGGGGCGCTGAACCGGTTCACGAACCGGTTCGGAAATTATAAATGACAAATTGCAGCATCAAAATAAATTGCAAATAAAACATCTGAAATCAGCACATACGAAACGGGATACATCGTAGTGTAAGGCACAGGGATTTCTACCAGGAATGATTTCTTTATGTGCACTCAAAGGTTACCTCACCGACGTTTACGCATTCGGACTTCATCTAATTCGGTCCGACGCAGTAGCTGTAAAATCCGCGACCTCCTTACAAATCCACTTACAAGTAGAACTCGCTAACTATCCCGCCACCTCGGCGTGTAAGCAATTGAAGGAACAGCGGGGAGAAAATACAGCTTTCTTTATTTGAACTAGCCTTCGGTAACTCAAATTAGACCCTTAAAGAAGTTTTCACTAAACAAGATACGGAATATGAAAAACACTTCACCGAACGCAACGCCAGAAGGACGTAATAGGATAAATATTAAAATAGAAAAGTTCGCTGCCTCACAAACATGTTAGCTTCTAAGTGCCTATACGAAACCGGATGCATTATTATCAAACTCCACAGCCTTTTCTTTTCTCATTTCGATGGAAGCAAGCTTCAAGAACTCGCGCGTTCTAGAAACGTGTTATGAAATGAGCACACAGCAGCATCTAGGATTTACGAGATTGTAGGAAAATAAAATCCCGTGACGCGATTTTTTTTTTTTTTTTTTTTGCACAGCCTTCCAATTATTTTTCTTCCGTGCAAGCCGCGACCAGCGCAATACTGGTTCCTATGTCAAGATTCATGGATGCAGCGTTTGTCAACATTCATGGATGCAGCGTTTATATTCCTAAGACTGAGTGGAGAAGAAAAATATGTAAGCGAGGTGTGTGTCAGTTGACGGCACTTAAAAAACAAATGGCATTGATAGCACATTCATTGTCAACAGCGCGTGGCCGAACCGTTTTGACATGAACCGGTAACCGTTATTTTTTTTTCCGGTTCAGTTCCGGTTCGGGTTCATCGCGATAACAATATAACGGTTCGGGTTCGGGTTCAGTTCCGGAAAAAATACCGGTTCGGTTCCGGTTTTCGGTTCGGTTCGGTTCCGGTTCGACACCCTGATATATATATATATATATATATATATACTGGGTGTTTTTTTTTAAGCTTAACAGAATTTTTACAAAGAAATCAGGAAAGCTAGGTTAATGCGGTCTGCGCAGGTGAGTTATACGGCCAGGGGGACATAAGATGGGAGTCTAATCGTAACGATCAGTCGGCTAATTAGTTAAAATTCGTTAAATAAATTTTTAATTAATGAAAATAGACATATAGTTCCCATTATAAACTAGCTCAGCGTCATCGAAAACCACTAAATCAGTAATTTGCAGAAAGACTTTGAACGCGTGAGAAGCGAAATAGCGCACTAAAGTTACCGCTCGTGGAGCAGGTACAAGGCTGGGGATAGATAAGAGGCAGAAAAATTGCGCGGGCGCCTTATCGCAAGCGCTAGCTTTGGACGTGCTTCACGAGTGCTAACTTTAGTGCACTACTACGCTTCTCACGCGCTCAAAGTCTTTCTGAAAATGACTGATTTAGGGGTTTTCGACGACGCCCAGCAAGTTTCTAATTGAAACTATATGTCTATTTTCATTAATTAAAAAGATAATTAACAAATTTTAACTAATTAGCCGACTGATCGTTACGATTAGACTCCTATATCATGTCCCCCTGGCCGTATAACTCACCTGGGCAGACCGCATTAATCTAGCTTTCATGGATTTTGAAAAAAAATTCTGTTAAGCTTAAAAAAAAAACACCCTATATATATATGGGTGATTTCATCTCAAATCATGCAGCAAAAAGGGTAGAATTATTAATTTCGCTGAAAAACGTATATATTATGGCGTCGTCTTTACAAACTCAGTAGCCGCAAACCGCAAGCTCGTCGGATTTTTTGTTCTCAAATTACGAAGTTTAAAAGAGGCCGCGACGGAAAGCAGTGTTTTTGCACATCCGTCGTGGGTCGGATGTTTCGCTCGATCTCCCGCCGTGGATTTTCAGTCCACATTATTTGAACTTTTTTTCAAGCACTCTGTGAGCACAGGTAAAAGGCCCTAATACCATAAAATATTTTAGGCATTTTGCTTTTTTTCTGTGAAAATGTCAAAAACGCCACCTCGGTGTAATGTTGACGAATTTGACAATTAAATACTGGCGACATACTTGGGTTACATCAATATTTTTTATGCCTAAGGAGAGCCTAAAACACGCTCTTTATATATATTACAAAATGACTCCGCTGTATAAAATATCCTTTGCGGTACGTTTACGTTAATTTCATGCTAAACCCAAAAAGTGTAAATTTTGAAATCGATTTTCTAAAAAAAAAAATTTGTTTTTCTTATTTTTTCCTAAAATGTCGATATGATAGTTCTATACTCGAAAAGTAAGTCGAGAAAATGTGTATTTTGTTTGTATGTTTTATATTTAAGGCTCAATATTGAAAAAAGACGTATTCTTTTTGCAAGACCTAAATCAGACATAGCGACCCGTGCGCTTCTGTGAATTGTGAACAAGTTTTATTGAATTTTCGTGCATTTTCTAATCAATTATAAACGCAATTTGTGGTATTGAATAGTTATTTATGTTTCGATAAGAGCGAGAAACCACGAGCAACATATCTACTCAGATCAGCAGGCCTAGCAGACCTTCAATATCGAAGAGGCACAGACGCTGTATTGCTTCGATTTATAAATCTTTCACTGTAATCTAGCATGACTAGCTATTAGCTGTCATATTACTAAGACATAGAAAGTCACCACATAATTGATATATTATATACAATTGTTTTTCCAAAACCAAATGCTAGGGTTTGTTCACCGCACATCGCAAAGATCACCAGGGAATGGACTTACCCTTCCGTAATACACAAAAGTGAAGACACAGAAACGGTCCGAAACACAAAGAGAGATTGTCACGGAGAGGGGTAAGGAATAAAATAAATAAATGAGAATAAAATTACCCAACTCCGATCTTAAAGAAAATTGCGTTAAAAAATAAAAGATTTAGGTTCGAGCGGTGGCAAGGCGATAGGTCCACGCCTGGTGGAGAGTAAGACAAAGAAGTCGACGATACGTAAAGGTAAAACAAAAAGCAAAAATTGAATCAAGACGGAAATACTCAACCGCACCCCTCCCCCTCCCCCCTCCCACCTCCTCCTCCTCCTCCCCCCCCCCCCCCCCGCCTTCCACGTCATCTTCAAGATCGGCAATCTTCAACCCTCCGCAAGGTGGTGCTCGAAACCCGACGCTACAAAAAGAGCTGTACTCCGTCCGACAAAGGCACAGGCAGCAGCGGCAGCACCGTGAACGCGGCCTAAAAACAACGCTCTGTACTTTCAGGTTGGTTTCACACCCGTTTTTATTCGCCCATCTCTGCCGCTGCTGCTGCCATACAGCCATAGAGTGCGACTGGAATTATGAATGACCTGTGTTTACCGTGTGGAAAGTCCCTTCCCATTGATGGACCTATCGCGACCTGCTCTGAATGTTCCTATAGTTACCATTTAGGAACATGCAGCGGGATATCTGAAGTTACCTTCAAAAAGGAAGGGGAAAGTGCTAGAGTAGAATGGAAATGCCAGACTTGCCAAAAGGGCAAGCAGAGGTGTCAGTCTTTCAGGGAGACTAAACCCTCGGAGACTGACACAACAAAGATGTTCGCCTCAATAAGCCTAAAACTCGAAATTCTCACAAATCTAAAGGTAACAGTAGACAGTATCGAGCAATCTGTAAAGATGATGTCGGATCAGTACTACGAGGTCATGTCCCAACTGGCAACTCAAAATGCTGACATCAAAGATTTAAAAGCAGGGGTCACGAAACTTGAGGAGAACAAAAATGATGTTTCCCAGATGAAAGCGGACTGAATGACCTCGCGTGGAGGCGCAGGCTCCAAAATCTAGAATTCCATGGCATTCCGCTAACTAATAATGAAGATTTGCTCGAGAAGATAAACGACGTGGCAGCTAAGATCGGTGTAGCAGATCTCACAGAGCCGGAGGTGGTGTCAGCACACCGGCTCCCTCCGAAACTTGAAAAGGTTCCCGCAGTCATCGTTC